CCGCGAGTGTCGTGTCGTGAGGAGATTGGTGGAAGTAGTGAGGTAAAAAGGATGGCGGGGTGAGGTTCTGGTAGGAGGTCACGGGGTCAGGTTGGCGATGATTTTTCGCGCTTGGAAGTCTGTGGGCGCTTACTCTCTTTCGTTGCGCAGGTCGTGATGGGGCGGGCGCTTCTTCATGCGTTCCCTCCGCGGCGCCGCTGGCATCGAGCGAAGCGGGCGCTGGTGTTCGTAATCGCGTTCTACTTCGTGTGGCACGCTTGGCCGTGGAGTTTTGCCTGGATACTCTCGAGCGATGCCTGGTGTACCAGTCATCTCAGAGGGGCGTGCAGCTGGAGGTACAGGTAACATTTCCTACTACGTGGAGCGTTGATACCTCCTTCCTCTCTCCTGCTTGTCATGCCGTTTTCCGTCATCCTTTCTCATCAGTGGCCCACGTTGGCTTACTTGCTCATGTCGCCGTGGCGAATCTCAGAATAGCGAGCTCCTCGCGGCTTCCCACCTTGCTTTTCTTCGCGGCTCTCTCTTTGTCTCCCATGTTCTCCCACCCCTGCGCTTTCGACCTCAGAGCATTGTTTGCCCTCCGATCACACACCCTTGTCTTTCCGATCTCCATTGTCCGTGTTCTGATCTTCGTTTCGCCCGTTTGCCTTCCTCAGGCTCCGACGAGGGGCCATTATTTGTGGGACCCCCCAACCCGCTCCGGCTCGTTCGCCCTTCCCGTTCCTGCCCTACCGAGTTCCCCAGCGATTGAAGCCATGATACCCCAATAAATTTTCTGATCGTCACGACGTGCCTGTGTGGGCTGGGATTATCTTGAGAAAAGAAATTCGGCATTCTTAATGATTATTTTGTAGCTTGGTTTCTGCAATCGCGCTTTGGATTTGCATCTCTACACTCGTTTGGTGTTTTGGCGGTTTGATATGCCCTCGGTTACTCCGTCATTGTCATTACCAATCTTCTACCAGTTTTTTTGTCCCAACATCTCCGTCATTCTGGCCTTTCAGTCCTCTCTTGCTTCCTCTTGAGCTCTCTTCATGAACAGCATGGCTTCTTCCCTGTCTTGTTATGGATGTGCTTCCCGCTGTCTGTTTGATCTCTTCCTCTTCGGCTTCTCGTTTGCTGTCATCGTTTTCGTGTTGCTTTTTGAACCCTCCGTATTGTTTTTCCTCGCGCCATGCGAGGCAATAAGGCAAAAGAAGAATCGAGAATGGAAATCGAGAAAGTGGTCAGTTAAATTAAACCTTAAACGCGCTCCTCATGAACGGAATGCTGCCTCGTCCTTTGGGCAGATCATACCTGGGGCCCCTCTCTCCTTCACCTCCTGCGTGGTCCTATCCCCCACAGCTCTTTTCATCAATCAAATCGTAGATTACTCTCTCGGACGCGCATTCAATTCCCTCATCCAATGTCGACTGGCTTTTACGTTTCGGGTCATAAGCGCGAATAGATGTGACAGTCGTTTCAGGAGGAAAATTAAAAAGAGGGCTATACTATCGAAAGAGGGTCGTTGTCGTGAGTAAAAGCTGAACTTCCAAGTCGTCGTCGGCATGGGTCCATCCAGCCAGTTCTACTCGTTGCTGATGGGTCCATTGAGCTTTAAGAGTGCTTTTCAGTGACGTCGGCCACTTTTGCTAGACTGCGGTCCAGGGATAGTTGCAGCTGGAAGGGGGCATGCGGGAGAGTTGTCCGGGATTCGAGTCGAAGAATCTATTCGATTTACGAAACGCCGGGAGAGGCGGTAAGGGAGATCAGGGGCGAGAACGAGTGGGTTTTTGGCGGTAAGGGAAATCGGGGGTGATGACGAGTGGGTTTTGTTGAGGGCTTGCACGATTGAGCCCATCGCCCTGGGTCGAAGAGGCGCACTGATGAAAGAGGGCGAAAAGAGTTGGGAGTCCGTTTGCCGTCTCCAAACCTGGATATCCGAAGCAAGATGACGAGAGGGGTAACCTTGTGTGACGATGATTAACATTAATGCCGCTTTCCTGGGGTGGCCATGCACTGTGGACACTACGCAGCTTGAGCTGGCGGATAATCACGCCGGTCGTCAGTCGATCATGAACGAGTGCGGGAGCTGACTAGTTGTGGCGAAATTTGTGAGAGGAGAAAGATGGCGGGCTGGCGCGGGGGCCGGCGGGGGGGTGGGTGAAGACGGCCCATTGTTGTTGGGGGGATGTCCGAGGGCGAGGGGTGCGCTGAGGCGGTTAGCCGATGCGCGTTGCCGTCCCGAGGTTGTTCAACGTGGTCAGGGATGCTTTGGATAATAATGCCGGCAAAGACCTTGGGGTATTTCTGTTCGAGCGATGCTATTATGGGTGGGCTTGGAGGGAACGAGGTGAGCCCTGCATGCCGCTTATAGTGGAGTCAGCTATCCGTGCGCGATCGAGCAGGTATACAATTGGAACAAGCACAGGTCTTCTTGCGCACGTGCGTGCAACACACAGACACACACACTCACACACAGAGACACACACACACACAGAGACACACACAGAGAGAGAGAGAGAGAGAGAGAGAGAGAGAGAGAGTCAAAGATGTGTCAAATATCTGCCACGTGACCGAGATTGTTTGCATCGAAGATTAGTCCGGCGGTTGATAACAACGGCACATGGCGGTCTATTTGAGTCTTTTGGGGAGGAGGAGGGGGAGCTCACCTTCAGACAGTATAGTGGACTGACCTGTAGGTGGATATGTGACAAAGGAAAACAAAATGGGGACCTAATGTGGGGCAAGGCAGCCGCAAAACGACGGCCGCCAGCTATCGGGCGGTTCCCCTTGCGAGATACTCCCGTCGATCGACGCTCATCGCACACCGCGCACGTGGCTGCTCTCACCACGTTAACTGGTGCGCTGTGAAGCATGTACCGTTAGCAAACGCCCTGCCTGTGGGGAAGTGCATTTTTCGGTGTGGGCGAGTTCCTCAGCCAAATTGTTACCCTTCCCCCGCCCAACTTGCATGCGCTGCAGTCCAGAACGTGTGCGCATGTGAGAGAGAAATTGAGCAGGGGCGTGCACGTGTGCGAGAAAAGTGACGTGTGTGTGTGTGTGTGTGTGTGTGTGTGAGAGAGAGAGAGAGAGAGAGAGAGAGAGAGAGAGAGAGAGAGAGTGCTAGAAGACTCTGCATGTCGGATGTAACTCGTATGACCGGGGCGGGTGCTTGCGCGGTTGCGCGAACGGGACAAGTTTCTTGCTTCTCGTGGAGGTCAATGATGATATAATGCTCCAGTGTGGAACTCTGTGAGAATCGAGAATATCACGGCATGTGGGGGTCTGGCGAGACCGACGGAGAGACAATAACAGCGATTCAAAGGGTCAGCAATTTTGTCGCTATTGGCTATGTGATGAAATGGCGGTGGTGATGGTGATGAAGATGGTAGAATAAGGACGAGGAAAGAGGAAAAGAATGACAGGTTGCACATGGGGCAGCAGACGACGAGCTCAATAAGAGCAGGAAGATGTCAAGGAGGGAGTCGGGAGGAGTTGGAGGGACAAGAAGAGGAAGAAAAGGAGGAAGTTGACCCCAAGAAGGTGCAAGAGGATGAAAGAGCCAAGGAGAACACGAGCGACAACAATGAAGAGATACTGAATAACGAGACGCGCACAAAAGCGGTACTGAATAAGAAAGCGGAGGCGAAGAAGAGGATAAGCTATTGTGAAACGTGGCGGAGAATAGGGAGATGGGAAGTAAAGACGAGGATGGCTGGAAAAGCAAGCTCGCAGATGGTTGACTCTCTGTCAACACCCTCGCAGAAAAATAATGGCAAGTTCGCAACGGGAAAGTCATGGCATATGTACAGGCGAGTCGCCAATCACAAACCTCTGCACGCCTGACTGACGGCGAAGGAGGTATGATCTGAGCCCGCCTCATCAAGCGCGGGCTGTGGGCGGAGAGGTGATGGCTGAGCAGGAGACAAATATGATGAGCGGGAGAAGAGAAATGGTGCCGGTGTCGGGAAAAACGCGAGAAACACGCAGGGGGGTAAAAACACGAGGAACACAATGATCGCGGGTTGGCATGTCCGTCCCTAATGCCCATCAGCTCATTACCTGATCCCTATGTTCATCCATCGCAAATGTGGTTTACCAGGTCAGGTCGGCCACCTCCCTCTGAAGCCGCCCAAATCGTTGGGACTTCCAAGAAGTGTCAATTCTTGCTCCCAGTGGCTACCCGATCGTTGAGCCCCCGGTCTCTCTTGACTAATTTTCCTGTGCTCCCCGACACTGTTAAGATCACCTAAGGCGCGCTATCCTCACCCTGCTGGTTCTCCCAATCTTGTTCTCCACCGCATTGATCCGAAGGCCGCCCGTGGCCCAATCAAGCGATATAGGAATCCGATACGTCGATCTACTGAGCGTCGGAAGCATTCGCGAGCAACACCTTTCTACTCGACGTCACTCTAGATCCATCAGTGATTGAATTACAAATAGATCAGCTGAAGTCGGCCGATCTATAAGCCCGTAAGGCCCGATCTCGGCCAACTAAGAGGGGTTCGATCAGCGTTGGAGTTCGGGCAGTCGTTGCTGGCAGTGTGCGAATCGGAGATCGAAAAACGATTGAAGGATATGGAGAGAGCTCGACGAACTGGAAGTTGATATTTTCGATTTAAGAACTCAGGGATTCGGTGGTGAGCCCCTGGACGTGAAGAACTGATGGGCGTTAGGGACATGCTAACCCGCGATCAATTACGTTCTTGTGTTTTTTCAGCAATGGTGAGTGGATGGGGAGATTGGTCTAATCTAGTTCCACTCTAGGACAAATGGATGGAAGGGGAAGAATGGAAGGAATGATGTTGATGAATGGTTGAATAGAGTGTGACCAAGTACACGTACGTACGATTAGATTGCTAGCTTAGTGGTGATTGATGGTCGGATTGAAAATGACGTGGATGCAGTGTAAAGAATGGCTTAGGTGGATGAGTGGGTGGATGGATGGATGGATGGATGGATGGATGAACGGTGAATGGATGAATGCGGTGAATAGATCGATCGATTGAAGAGTGGATGACAAGTTGATGTGTGGATAGGAGAGATGAATGCGTGGAGCGTGGGCAGGTAAATGGCTGGATGAGATATTATGAGATGTGCAGCGCGGAGAGGTAGACGGCTGGTGGTAAATGAACAATGCCTGGTGGACGAACAGACGGGCTCGTCCGGTATGGATCGGAGCATGCTAAAGGGATGATGAGGGGTCGAACGGCATGTGGAGGGTCCAATGTTGTCGGATAGAGGGACAGAGAGTGGACGAATGGATGGCTAATGAGAGATGATCAATGTTTTAAGGATAATTAATTTAATGCAAAGAGGATGGACAGGTGGGCGCAAGAGGGTGGCTGAATAATATATTGACGTGTGGATGGACCGATTGGTCGATTGCGGATGCACGGATATGGGTGCGTGTATGGATGGAAGTGCGATGGGCGGACGCATGGAGATCGATGGGAGCAGGTGCATCCATACCAGAGGCCGGAATGGCTCGATCGACATGCACCGGACGACGCTGTCAAATTGACCTGTTACGTGAGTGTGACGGAGCACACGTCGGCCAAACGCCCCTGCATGAGCGGCTTGTATTGAGTGCATTCCTGCCCCCGTCCTTTTTTTAAACCTATGGCGACGAGATGCGGCGGGGTGTTGCACCGTGGCGAGACTGGTCTGCAACGTGCTCGCAGCGTCTTCGCTCCGCATAGCAACCAGTGTTGTACTGGGTGCATCGAGATCTTTAAAACACCAGCGCGAACACTGAAACGGAAAAAAGAAGTGAAATCTACCAGGAAAAGGGTGCTGTGAACGTAGCCGCTCGGCTTGATTTTCGGAAGGTGGTCTCATGAAAGACATAAATCTATGAATTGCCACTGGTGACCGGCCGCTGGCCAACGATCTGGGACCGCTTGACTCTGTGTCGTCACTCTCCTTGCTCTTCCCGTTTTTGTCATTCTCCGGTGTATGGTCTCAGTTCTGAGTTTTCTTGACTACAAATGTAGCCCATTCTTATCTTTCCCAAGTTCCCCCCTTTCTATGCATGAAAAAACGAAGGGGTGGCAGGTTGATGAAAATGATGCCCGGGATTGCCGATGACTGAGTTGTTAGGCTGGTGACAGGCTTCGGTGTGCGAACGCGATGTGTTGGGATCATCCTGACAGGCTTCGGTGTGCGAACGCGATGTGTTGGGATCAACCGGGATGGCTGGGTTTGCGAGTGTTTTGTACGACGTGCACGAACGGGCGGGGCCAAGAGACACTGGGCAGGAGCTGTGTGTTCATGCGTAATGGGACGTGTGGAACGTGGGCTCAGGTCAGAGGTTACATTAACTAAGTGGCTGTCGAGGGAGAGAAAGGTTGGGGGGGGGGGGGCGGCAGGGAGGAGCAGGAGTGGCGCACAGTGTGAGTGAGTGGCCTGGTGTGGAGAGGATGGACTAGATTCGATCGCGGTACTCCAGTCAGAGTAGAGGAGTATGTGAAGTCAGCATGCAAAGGACGTATATGTGGGGCATTGGCGGGGCGGGGAGGAGCAGGAGTGGCGTACAGTGTGCTTGAGCGGTACGCTTCTGGTGTGGAGAGGATGGACTAGATTCGATCGCGGTACTCTAGTGAGAGTAGAGGAGTATGTGAAGTCAGCATGGAAAAGACCTATATGCAACTCAGACCCTCCCTTTTCTTGTCTTGTTGTGCCGTTCATTCACTTTTTTCGCCCATTGGAGGTAATGCAACACGGATTTTACCGCTCACATTTTTCCGCTCACAATTGTAGTGTGTTTGTAGCAGATTGATACATCCGGTGTATACCCTGTAGTATAGAAATTACAAATTCCCGATCTTTACTCTTACTTTAAGATCGGCTTTTCAAGATGTGGATCCATCGGACCCAACTGGAGGGCACCTTGCTCGCCTCCAAGTGGTTGGTCAACATTGGTGCCCTGGTCGCCGTTGGGAGCAAAGATTGACACTGACATCATCAGGCGTGTGCTCAACTGAGTGAATAGTGAGTTGTGCTCTAGTCGGAATTTATCCCTGCAACGTAGCTCACGGCAAGTTTGGAGGCATAGGTTGGACATAACAGGAAATATTCGTGGTTTGCGATGATCACTCAAACTGACCACAAGTAGCGTTAGAGTGTGAAATGTTGAGTCTGCTGACCTGGGCAATTTTTTGTGCTCCAAATTGTTGGCAGAAGATTTTGAAAAACGACAGAGCCTATGCAGACTGCTGCTTAATCTGGGGAAAATATATTGAAATAATCAAGAGTTGTGAATGGCACAAATGCCATGGGGAGAAGCTCTCTTTGGGCTAGTGGCCAACATAACAATTAGAACGTCGTGAGACAGTTTGGTTCCTATCTACCGTTGGTTATTTGAAGAGAACTGAGAGAAGCCATCCCTAGTACAAAAGGATTGGGATGGGTCAACCTATGGTGGACCGGTTGTCATGCCAGTGGCATTGCGGAGTAGCTACGTTGGTATGGGAGAACTGAAAGCATATGAGTGGGAAACCCCTCTTGAAAAAAGTTATCATACGAAACGAAAGACCATCACTTTAATAGGCGAGAAAAAGCACCGTGAGGTGTGAAGCTTACTCCGTGGAAGACTCAGTGGCGAGGCGACCGTAATTTCTGGTGGTAAAAACCTGCATATTTTGGCTCCCTGCTGCTACTGGTAGGTGCAAAAGTTTTTGGAGCCGTGTTCAAGACTTGGAAATGTGCATAGGTTGCGTGCTGTGGTGTTTGACTGTGAGTTCCAGATTGTATTTGGCCGCCATGGGTGTTTTTTGCTGAAGTTCTGGCGTTCTGTCGGGCCGAGTAGAGGTGGTGAAGTCAGGTGGTGGCTGAAAATCGGGGGCCTGACATGGTGGTCCGCGGAAAGAGACGAAGTGATGCATGCAACTGCTGGGAAACAGCATGAATTTCAGCCCTCGTTGGAGAGAGAAAGGTCCGCGGAAAGAAAGGACGTGACCCATGCAACTGCTGGGAAACAGTATGAATTTGAGTCCTCTTTGAAGAGAGAAAGGTCCATGGAAAGAAAGGACGTGACCCATGCAACTGCCTGGAAACAGTATGAATTTGAGTCCTCGTTGAAGAAAGAAAAGGAGTTTTGTGGCCATGCGTGGTTTGTGCTGAAGTTCTGGCGTTCTGTTGGGCGAAGTAGAGGTGATGAAGTCGGGTGGTGGCTGAAATGGGGGCGTGACATGGTGGTCAGCGGAAAGAAAGGAAGTGACCCATGCAACTGCAGGGGAACAATATGACTTTCAGTCCTCATTCAAGAAAGTAAAGAAGTTGCAACTGGATAGTGACACCGCTGTCCAGACTTTCGCAATTTTTCGAATGAAGCCGAGTGCCCACACTTCAAAACCTGCGGCGCTGCCACCCACGATTCTTGGATTTCTGGAGAATTCTCTGATGCGAACTGTGCTTTCCCCTACACTTGTCTGCCGGCCATGTGCACACCCACAAATGCACACACATACGCGCCTGGCCACCCACCTCTCCCCCCTATGCATAGTCTAGTTTTTCGGACTTACCGCCGTCTATGTCAGAGGCTGCAATCGACAGCCCACTAGGATTGCAGGGGTTGTTGGGAATGAAGTCGGCCAATTTTCTCAGGGGCATTTTTCTCTTGGAGAAGGGGCATGGCTAATTCTGGGCGGCATGGTGAGTCGTTAT